CCCAGTGTGGGCTACGCGAGCACAGGGAAGAGGCCCAGTGGGCGGGGGCACGAGAAGCGCGAGCAAGAGGCCCAGTGGGTGTGGGCGCAAGAAGCGTGAGGGGCGCGAGAAGTGCGAGCAGGAGGGCGCAAGAAGCGCGAGTAAGTGAAGTGCAAGGAGCGCAAGTAAGAGCGGGCGCGAAAAGTGTGAGTGAGGGCCCGGTGGGGGCGTGGGCACGAAAAGCGCGGGCATCAGAGGCACCGTGCCAGGGAGGGAGAAAGGCAGCCTCCCTTTAATGAACCAAACATCAAAGACGTGGCGGGCGAGGGTGCAGGAAACCTGATCTGGCACGGTCGGCGGGGGCGCGAGGGGAGGACACGGCCCCCTCAGGCCCCCGCCCTGCCACAGGCATGATCCTGTTTTCACTGTTTTGTTTTGTTTTGTTTTTGATAAGAAGAAATCGTTGTCTTAAAGTTTAACTCCTTTTATCTTTCTTCTGTACCTGGCTTCTGGTTTTTCCAAACTCTGACAACATTCTTCAAATATTAATACAAAATCAAGACATCATGTGACAGATGATGTGGCTTTATTTTCTCTGGATTATATTAACATAATGGTTTCTTTCCTAGAAGGGCTAGCAGATTTATAAGTGACCATCAGCTTGTCTAAAACTTTGCTATCCATGTATTAGTTCTTAAGTAGCATAGAAGTGTATGTCACAGATTTGAATAGCATTTGCTTGACCACATCTCTTAATAAACATGTATTTTGTTTCTTTACTTATAAGGTTCTTTATTCTAGCATTTTAATTATATTTCAGATTTGTTCCATTCTGATCTCTCCGTTCAAATCCTAAAACCCTGGACATGTGATGTCCATGCTTGCTTTGTGCGTGCTACATTTGTTGACTTTGGTGGCAGTTGGTTAGGGTTGTGCAAGTGGAATCTAGTGTCACCTGGTGTCAAGCACCCTTAGGTCACATTGACTATATTAGAAGCTAAGTGCATGGCTTAGCACTCAGGATCATCCCCAAGAGATTCATCCCTAACAGATCATATATACTGCACTCTTAAATCTAAGAGTTTCTGTCACCATGTTTAGCAGAAATATTACTTGTATGACAATAGCACCTGGGAGCACCTGTTTTATCATAGCCCAGGGGTGGGCAAAATAAAGCCCACGGAGGCCCTCAGTCCTGCCTGGCCCAGGCACCACCTAGTCATGATATGTCCTTCTGCTCCCTGGGCACACAGCAGGGCTGGGGTGGCTCCATGGCTGGACTGCCTTTCTAGGCAGTCCAGTCAGCAGCGGCTCCTTCTGGCTGCTGGCATTACTGGCTCCAGCCCCACAGTACTGGCAGCGACCCACACACAGCCCCGACCTGGCGCTCCCCACACCTGCTCTGGATTCGCCCATGCAGCCTTAGCAGCAGTGGCTGCTGGGCAGAAACTGTTGCTCAGCATGGAGGAAAAGTGGCCCCTCCCCCTCGTTGCTGTTGTGCAGTTCTTGGTGCAGCCGCCCTGATCCTGTGCCACGCTACTGCTGCTGCTGCTTCTGCCACTGAGCTTGGACAAGCAAATCTGAAGCAGGCATGGGGCGTGGTGGGTCAGGGCCATGCTTGCAGGTCCCTGCTGATACCGCAGGGCTGGGGCCAGCAGTGGCAGCAAGTGGAAGGAGCTGCCCCAGGCCCGCTGCATGCCCGGGGTGCAGCAGGATGCACCATGGCTGAGTGGTGTGAAGCAAGCGCGGGGTGTGCTGTGTGCTGTTGGCCACGGCAGGGAGATGCTGCAGGGCGCACAGGCTCTAGGCAGTTGCAGGGCGGGTGCCGACTGGCTCAGGAGGGCATACACAGAGGCTCCCATGCACACCCCACCATACCCTCAAAACTCCTGCCACAAAACCCACAACCAGAGATGACTTGAGCAGGCTGCAGGACCCAGGGCAAATCAGCCTGTGTGGGGCCCCACCCCTGTGCGCCTGAGATGTGAAGAAGTCAGCAGCAGATTTGGCAGGGGGGGAGGTGGGGTGCTGAGCGGCCAGATGCGAAGCCAACAGTAGTGGCGGCACTGAGTCGCCATGGCCACTCTGCCCAGCTCTGCAGGGCCCCCAAAGTGTGGGGCCCGGGCAGTTGCCCTGATTTGCTCCCTCCTAAGGACGGCCCTGTCCACAACCACACCTTCCCCCACACAATCCCACCCCCCACCCCCCCGCACACACCCATGTACCTCTAGGGAGGAGTACTGCTCCCTGCTACATGCACACATCCCACCACATACATGCACACACACACACACCCCCAGCCACGCTCCCCCTCAACACACCCCACAAACCCATACTCACCCACACACGTGAACTGCGCATGCCCCCAGTGGCTGGAGGGGCACAGCAGCAGTGGAACTGCAGCAGTAGTAACGGGGGGAGCTCCTGCAGCCACTGTCAGCGGGGTGGGGGGGCGGAGGGAGGAGTTGCGAGTGCCGACCAAGGGTTTGGCACCTTTTTGCAGGGGGTGCACCACCACGCTCAGGGGGGTGCATGTGCACCCATGTGCACTCCCTACGCATTGCCCCTGCCCACACATCCCCACAAACCCCCAATACTCACTCACCCACATCCTTTATTCAGTTCAGGAATCTGTCTGTATCTTCGGTGTAATGTCTTTCCTAAAGTCTTTCATAGCATGTTATTGGCACAAAAACAGACATGCTGTTGCAGTGGCCTTTTGTCATCCTAAGTATATTTTATATACTACAAGACAAATTTACACTTGTCATTTGCCAGGTATATGGTGAGATGATGCTACTTGTTCATTGAAATTTAATGTACTATTCATTCTCTTGTTTAATCATTTGACTCTTTTACCCTTTGGATTTTATAAGCTCTCGGGAGTAGGGATGTATTTGTAAATAAGTCTATCAAGTGCTTATTGGAGTGGGGTGCTAATCGTTGGATGATGCCCCTGTACTCTCCTCCATAATAATAAAAGGAATATAGGAGTTGCCATGTCAGATCAAAAGAATGTTTTCTCTGTTTCAGTATGCTTACTCTGAGAGTGACCTGCATTGGATGCTCCAGAAGAAACTCATGAACTAACAGCCTTAGAAAGAAATATTTCCTAACCTCTGCCACATATTGATTGGCTTATGCCTTGAAGCATGATGCTTCATATACTTTTAATATGTTTTTAACACATTCTTATGTAACTCTGGATGTTTTCACTACCCAATTAAATCAATACTGTTTACTTGGTCTCAGCAGTATCAACAGTGTCATGTAAATGAATTCTGTGGGCTAATCTCTATGTTTGTGTTTCTTTCTGTTATTTTTAATTCACTGCTCTATCTTTTCTTTTTGTTATATTAAAACATAAATAGAAGCACCTGCCATATCTTCCATACATCATTCTCATGTCCCATGTTATTAGTGAGCAGGAAGTGAATTACAATGAAAGCCTTTTCAGAAACTTTTCTGAGTATTATTTTTGAAGAATGGTACTTGAAGTTATAGTCTTTTCTTTATCTTTTTTCTAAATAAATCAGAATATTTTAACTTAACTGGGTGCATCTACACGTTATTGATATGAAGTAGGCTTACTGTGCAGTGAGTGCTCTACACTGCCCAGAGCTGGCTGGGACCTGCAACTCCCCTGCAGCTTTTCCCAGCCCCATGCCCCAATCAGGCAATGGAGGAATGGGGCTGGGAAGAGCTGAGGTGGAGGGGCAGGCCCCAGCCAGCTGGTTAGTCTGCTGCGCAATAAAGAGTCTCGTGTAAACACACCTACTGAGAATCAACTCTTTTGACTATATTATAACATTAAAGTTCATAATTTTTCAAGACAGCTAGTGATGTTGGTTGAGGAATATGCATTATTAAGTCTAAGTGCTAATCCATGTAAGTTGTGTTTTCATCTATTTAGGTAGTCTTCATTAAAAAGGACTCATTTTAGTAGGGCCTGTATGTTTCCTGTATTTTCCAACACCTTTCTTTCTGAAAAGAGAAGAGCATTATACTTTCAAATTTTTGTTTCTAATATTTGGCTTGATATTCTTGGAGAATCTAATATCCTGAACAGCAGCACCTGCTGCTGTCTGGCCAAGGAGTGACACTGAAGTCAGCTGTGAAAGCAGCGTCTTTCCTCCATCCTGCCTGCAGGAAAAGTGTTGGGAGTTGCCAAGTACACACGTTGATGTGTTCATGAATGTGTGCAGATTGCTTCATAAAGCAAATTGTTCAAGGGTATAAGATTTTTTAAAAGGTGCTTTTTTGGATAAAGTCAACATACTCGTTTATGGTTATGGAAAGGTTATAGCAAAATACTATTCAAACCAGGCAGAATTACTAATGTTGGATAGCTTATAGGTTATATAGCCCATATATTACAAGGATTTACTTGAAGCTCAGGACTTAACAAGCATAACACAGAGGGACTTTTGTACAAAGCTTGAAGAGTTAGTCCTTGGCCTTTGGCCAGAAATAAAGAATGCTTGCCCTTGTGTCATTTTGTCCTACAGTGTTCAGATTTTGGCAGCAGTTCTACTTCAGTGTAATTGTTGGCACTAAAGCTGAACTGTACCCTGAATGGCCTCTTCCTACAAAAAGGCAGGGGTGCAGAGGTCTAACACGGCATCAAATCTTTGTATTGATCAACTGTAATAGAGGACTGTATATGAGAGCCCTTCATATCAGAGAGCCAAGCAATTGAACATAGAGAAGCAGCCCTAGAAAACAAAACAAACTTAGTGTGAAGTATTTTTTTAGTTTTTCCATGGGATAATGAAGGGACTAAAAGGATAAGAGAACAAATAGCTCCTTCTAGGGCAGACATTAGTTTGGCTATCTATCCACAGTTGTTGTTAGTCTACCCTTCTTATTTGTACTCAGGAGTTGAATTTTATGTTCCTCATCCAGACCATGTGCAGAGAGCTTGGTCACAGCTTTTAACGATAAGGTATTTTTATTGTTTGCAAAGGCTTCACTTGCTTACTTTTCTTTAAAAAAAATACTTTCCCATTTCATTGAGGCAGATTTGGAAGTCAAACCAGAAACTTCAGACTCTACTACGATGGAAAACACTTTGTTGGGGAGAAACGTTTTGAGTCCATCCATGACCTGGTGACAGATGGATTGATTACTCTTTATATTGAAACCAAGGCAGCTGAATATATTGCCAAGATGACAATAAATCCAATTTATGAACACATAGGATATACAACTTTAAACAGAGAACCAGCACACAAAAAACATATGCCAACCCTGAGAGATACACATGATGGCAAAGAGTCTACAGGAGAGGATGAGGTAGCAGAAAAGAGGGTAAGCAATTTTTAACCCACACATTTTTTTTCTGTTAGACTTTAATATTATACTTTTAACTCAATGCCTTTGAAAAAGATTATTTATGTCTAGAGGTATTTAATATAAATAGTTGCATCAAATATTTTATTAATAATAATATGCTAAGATGTTTTAATAATGTTTTCAGGTTTTAATGCTGATGTTTGCTTATTGCAAATTTCTCTGATACATAAACTTGGTTATCTTTTACTTCATTTTTTAAAAACTAGTTAATTACAGATGTTAAGTTGCCCCCTTGATATTTCAGAAGGAAAGGAATTTTTCATCTTAAAATTATTTATAGTGTAGAAGAACAATTGCCCTTTCGTACAAAAAATGCATTCTACAATTTATTCAGCTTTCTCCAAACAATGACAGTGAAGTTGTCCATTTTATAAATAAGTCTGTTCATTAACATGATAAAATGTTAAAACATTTCACATGACTAAGTTCAGCCTGTCAGAAACTGACAGAACTATTTTTGGCCTCAGTGAGACTTATGAAGAAGGATTTCTCTCTTCAGAGAGTTGCGTTATCAACTGAAAACTAACTGCATTGTGGATTTAAAAAAATAGAAGCAATGCAAGATAAATTTAAGAGTATATACTGCCATAGAACTTCTTGAATGGTAATGTAGAAAACTCTCCCAAAAGCAGTTGCTTGTAGCTTTATTAGTTTGATAACTTCTCTTTTTAAATTCCTATAGAAGTTAAATGTTAAATTAAATCATTTAAAAAAAAAATGGCTTCTTCTCAATGATTTAAAAGCCCATAAATTGAAGTCTTTAAAAATGTGTTTTTAAAGAATCACTTTAAATCTCACTGTGTTTAATAAGTGGTTCTATGCTATATTGTGTATGTTTTCACCTTATATTGGTATTTGGCTCTCAAGTAGCAATGTTGTTAGGAATATCAGTAATTACTGTAATACACACAAGAAATAGAAAACTGAGATTTAATTAAATGTTCCTCCTTCCAATCAGATTTCAGAAATGCATTTCTATAATCCTTTCTTAACTTAATATTCTGTATCTGTATTGCTACTAACAGAAGGGTTTTTTTTTAATTAAGAGGTTATTGGTATGCCTATTGCTTTTAACTGACCATTTAATCCCCTGGATTTCTTGCCTGCAACTAACAATGGCATTGGTTTGATTTCACCAGCATCATTCATAGTTTCATAATTTCTAGGGTCGTAAAGGGCCTGAACAGATAATCAAATTCAGCTCCCTGCCCTGGGCAGGAACAAGTGCTGGGATCATTAAACCACAGTCAGATATCTACCCAACCTCCTGTTGAACACCCCCAAGGTGGGAGAGAGAACCCCTCCCTTGGGAGCCCATTCCACAGCCTGGCAGCCCTAACCGTAAAGTAACTTGCTAGTAATATCATTGTCTTGCTGGTAATGTTGGGCAAGTCACTTTACCATTCTGTGCCTCAGTTTACTTCCCTAAAATAAAGATGATAATACTTACACACTTCTGTAGAGTGCTGAAAGACCTGATGTGTGTAGCCATATATGACTATCTCTTGGCTGTTTTTATTTGATAGGTTTCCCCAAAACAAAATCCATCAGTGCTGCCCACACATGGGGACCATCAGGTATTTCGTCACAAACTTAGTTATTTCAGGAGGCCTAAATTATCCTTTTTTTTAAAGGAGTCACACATGGCTTCTTACATAAAACTCTTCTTTTCTTTTTACATTAAAAGCATGATAGGGCTACAGTAGTTTTAATACTACAGAATAATACAGCTTAGTAATATACAAACATAAAAAAAACAGGCCTTCCCTTCCATGGCCACAATGACGTGTGTGGGCATCAGGTATAGAGGGGGGCTTGACTTAAGAAATTGTCCCCAGCCTGAAAATCTCTTCAGGTGGTACCATTACAGCCATCCCCAAATATTAACTATAGCTTTCAAATATAGCCTCTGCCACTCTAAATAGGTTGCTTTTACACATTCATTCACTAGGAACAGGAAATCTAGGTTCAAATGACAATACTGATGAAAAGTTTGAAGTATCAATTCTGACCTTCTAGATGACAGGTATAAGTAAGGTACCTTCTGAGTGGTACAGACTGGCTAAATATCATCATAGACCTTTTCTTCACTGTTTCAGAACCTACAAGGCTCCCTATTCCCATTGAACTCACTGGAAATAGAGGATGTTCAGCAGCACCTTACAGTATATCATGCTGTTTGTTCTGAATTTAACAAATCCTAATACTAGGAGGTGCTATTACAAGAAAAGCAACTTACTATTTATGGGTAAAGTCCAGCCTAAGGCAAAGAGCTTAGGCAGGGCTATCTATTCCAGTGAAAATCCATTGAAAAGACTTAATAATAGAGAGTCTTGTGGGCTTTTTTCATTGGTGTGGATATCATCCTACTAATGTTCATTATAATGCAAACCCTGAATACGAACCTTGGACAAAAGTTCTAGAGAAAACCAGATAGGTTTGCGTTTTGTGGGGAGTTATTTCTTTGGTTGGTTGATTGGTTTGGCACATGTAAGTCCTGCTACCTTTATCAGACTTAGGTGCCACTACCATTCAAAACAAGTATAATTATCAGTCATTTTTGTGAGGAGGTAGTAGACTTCTGCTGTGTAGCATCGTGATACTCAACACTGATGGGAAGGTTTGTACAGTGTAAGGATTGCTTAGGAGATTGTTATCGAAAGAGATTTTTTTTCCTTAGAAAGAATGCTGTCAAGTCAGACTTCCATCAACAAAAATGTGCTTATATTTTCTCAAAAAAATGCTACAGAATAATTAAGTAGCTCTTTCAAATTGAAATCTTAGATAGAAAAACTCATAGGTTAGTCATGTAATTGCAGCATCCCACACCTTTTATTTAGAAATTATACACAGTTAAAGTTGTTTCATATCCAGAATGGCACAGTTGTGCCTGGATTGGCCTGAAGCCCAGCTTTTAAGAGTCTGTTTTCTTTTGTGTCTTGGAACCTTATTGAAGTGGACAGAGAAACAATGAGACACATACTATGGTACAGTTACATGCAGAGGCAACTTCTTTATTTAAAACTGGGTATTTGGATAACTACTCCAAACTTAAATAGCAGAGTTTTTCATGTGCGGACCTTCTCTGTTGCCAGATGGTACCAAGCTAAGGATGAGGGTGACACCATCAAGCTTACCCAGAACCCTGAAAGCTAAAACAGAGTCCAAAATGGGAGAAGGCGAAGGAAGAATCAGTTGTAGTCCTTCCTGATACACACCCACACCTCTATGCATGTGTATGCTTTCACATACATGTTGAAGGCAAGTGAAGGGGAGAGAGGGAAGCAGAGGGAGCACATGGGGAACTGCCCTAGCTGCTCCTGGTTGAGCTCCACTCCCCAGGGTGTGCTGCTGTTCCAAGCCCCATCAAAGCTGTAATCTGGCTACCAGGGTGAACATTTAAGTTTCTACATTCACATGTAATGAATGTGATACGGTTACTTAAAGACAGCACCACTGGCCTAATGCAACATATTTTTTGAGAATGTACCACTTTCAACTGTGTCTTATAAAACACATAAAAGTGTTGATAGGCATAACGCATATTTTTATTGAAATGACAGGATACTTCTGTGAAGTTTAATTTTGAAAATGCTTAATGGAGAGGGACTCAAAACACTTGATAATAGGAAATCTTTTTCTTCTCTTTTCTTTTTTAACTGCCTGTTAATGTAATGTATGCGTGTTAATAGCACACAAGGAATTAGTGGTATTCACAATTAAGCTCTAGACTCCAACCATCTTTGCTAAACTAATAATTTATTTTCTGCAATGGAAATGTCCAAGAAATCTTAGAAATATGCATTGAAAAAAGTTTATATGCTTTTCCAAAAGTTAGATTTTGTTCTTTTGTGGTTCTTTAATACTTCCCAGTGTTGCTTTAACAGGTTGTACTTATAATTTATTGAAGTTAGTCTATCATTTATATTAGCATTAATGATGATTAGAATGCTTTAACCATGGTATAGAGGAACTAGTACTGCTCAGAGAATGTGTTTTATAAATGGGAAGTTTGTCTTTCTCCTCCATGATAGAAAGCGGAATACTAAATCCCTGTGGCCCAACATGAAGTGTATCATCAAATTGAAATTCGGCAGTTCTAACAAAGGGTTCATAGAAAGTTGAACAAAATAGGAAACGTCTTATGATCTGAAGAGTAAATGGTGCTTGTAACAACTTTCAATAAGGAGAGTTATTCCAACAGATGGAAGAGAAAATAATTTCTGCAGGGTTCAGTATTTGGTACGCAGGCATCTTTACCAGCCTTAACCTGAGGCTATGTAGTTTCTCCCTGATTTTTCTTTTCTAAGGCTGTAAATTTTTATGTTTTCTCCAAAGCACAAGGGAGTAAAAAGCCTCTGTATCTTGAACAGAGATGATCTATTCTGTGATCATTCAGATCCAGATCTGAATTTTGTAACTCTTCTAAATCAGAAGCTAAGCATGTGAGGTGTAAAAATATATCTTCTGGAGAAGAACATACTGTAACATGGCCTGGCTGGAGAACAGCTGCTGGGGCTGCAATTTCACATTCTGTCATAAAAGTGAGTAAAGGAAACAGGGCAAACAAAACACACCTCAGACGTTCAAATAGAATATTAAAGAGCTCTAGACCTAGCAGTTAATTTGGTAAAAGGCAACAGCTGGGAATCAAAGTCTTGTGAAGTATTTTCTATCATGTAACACTGGGTCTTCTCCCACCTCCCAAATATAGGTAATTTAGAGCAGAACAAACTGGCACATCTTGAGTTAATTTTAAAAACTCCTTGTGAGCAGGGTATTGAAAAGCAGCTGTAATAGCTGGACTTGAAAGGCAAAAGTAATTCTATTGTTACATGAGGATTGCAAGATGTAAATCATCCTGGGTAGAAGTACTGAGTCCTGTAAGAGACCAAGTTGTGGTGTGATTTAAGATAAAGATTTTAATGGTAAAAGAATGAGAATATAATCCACTA